ATGCATAGGACGTCGAAACATCCATCCTCGAACGCTGAATCATTTGTAGACTTTTCAGTAGACCAATGTCACAAGGAGGCTGTGTATTTTCAAATAATCTTTCCATACTAGCACATCTGTATCTACATTGAAAGATCACAATAGACAACCATGGTCTAGCTCAAGAGAGTCAACCAACCCCCCTCAGCACAAGCACAATGATATCTGATGAAGCCCGATGAAAACGATAAACAAGCAAGACGCCGGTGTAAATGCAGCCCAAAATGCCCGCTCCTGCCCCAATGTACGCAAGCCAGGCTGGAAATGCGTTCAAGTGCTTGGTATAGTCGCAAAGCAAACAAGAAGTGAAAAGCAAACCGCATGGCCAATGAGCCGATGCAAAGCACAACTATCTCCCGAGACGCCGTTATTATGATGTATGATGGGTCTCGTAACACATTTGACTGCATTGTACCACTTCAGTGAGAGTGGTATCGGGTATCTGGCGCCGGTGGAAGCCGTTCAACATGATCTCTTCAATACTCATCCCGGGAATCGCGAAGGGGTCGTGCAAGTTGATTCAATAATGCGTCAAGTTCTTTCCAGTTCTCAACCTTCTCGGCAAACTTGCGGTGCTTCCGAGAAAGAACATGCTGTTACTCGAGTCAGTGACATTCTTGTGCAACATTGAAATAGCACATACCTCTTCAAAATCCTCAAACTTATCCTGGCAGTTCTCACAATATCCTGGCTTGGGATCTCTCTTCTCAAGTTTTCTCTGCTTGACTGCTTGGACCTTTCGGGCAGTCTCAACTTTCCTCGCGTTCTCTTCTGCTTCAGATGGGTCGACGTCTTCCTCAATAAGCCCGAGTCTCCCTTGTCTCTTTACTACTCGCGGCGGCGCAGAGTCTTCTCTAGTAGTAGCACTGATATCGGTCATACGATGGGAGCTTGCCAGTCCATGTGAGCCTGGGCCTCCACTGTTCTTCTCCAAGACCTTTCTCTGCAGACCGTGGACCTCTTTGCTGGTTCCCACCTTAGCTCCTGGCTGCGCTGCCGTAGAAGAGATCATCTGAGAGCGGATTGCAGACGTGATGTTAGATGGTTGAAGTCCTGACGCTACTGGCTCTCCTCCAAACAAACGACCAGTGCCGGCCCGGCTGACAAAAGCATTTTGGTTCCCCCGAGACGAAGGCTCAGGATCCGCCTTTAGCGCGAATGAGCTTTTGTTCGGGGCGAAAGGATTGGCCTGCTTGCTCGACACGCTAACATTTCGATTCGAGCCATCTTCCATCTGCGCTAGAGGCCGTTTTCCAGTCACAGCTCTTGGAGGTTGCATCTTCGTTGCCTCGAATGCGGCGGCGGCACGAGTCCTGGGGACCATAGCTTTCTCTTTCTCCTGCTGCTTTTGAAGTCTGATCATCTCCTTTTCCTTTTCCGCTTCCCGGCGGCTGTAATCAACCTCTTCGATGAAAGGACATTTCCCACCAGATACACTGCGGAATTGTGGCCAATCTCCATCTTCCTTGTTGGCAACCTTAGAATACTCACGGACCATGATTGGTCTTTGCTTCTCATCGATGTCGTGAATATAGATGAATGGCCCCTTGAACTGACTAATGTCTTTCGTAGCTACTGTCAAGTCACGGTCGGATGGTCCATTGATCCTCTCATTGCGAAGGAGCTGGGATAGGTCGACTGACTGGCCAGTACGGTGTTTCGTCGCGGGTGCTGCATTGCTTCTCGTATTGTGTCCGTGGGCTGATTGATTGTCTGCTTCCGACTCAAACATAACTTTCATTATTCGTTGCAACTTCTCCAACGCCCATATCTTCATATTCAACTCTCGAGCTTTGTACAACACATCCGCATTGCGGCCTTGCTGTCTACGGACCTCTGCATCTTGTGTGTGGGATGCTAACCTCCTACTGCCTGGGGCTTCGAACGTGAACTTCGCCTTGGTTCCAAATTCGGAGTTGAGGTTGGCTGATTCAGATGACCTATCTAGTAGAGATGGATTGATCGTTTGAGGTTGACTATTTTGTGATTGGGAGTCGTTGGTTGAGGAGGTTACTACTTCAGCTGGGACAGCTTGGTGCTCGGGAGGGATATTTCGTGTTGTGACAACGTGGGTGACTTCGTTTGAGAAGAACTTCTCTTCGCGCTGTAGACATTGTTAGTATATATACATAGTTCAATGGAATGGTCAACATACCGCACCAAGCTCAATCACAAGTTTCGAGTATTTTGTTCGAGTTTCCTCCGGCACACTCTCGAAATAAAAGACGAAGGTCGGGAATATCTTCCTATAGTGCTTCTGCCACACCCTGACTGTCTCGATGTTCTCTCCTTTCTCTGCTTTTGTGACGACCTGCTGAGGCTTGTCTGCCACCGCAATCAATTGTTTCTCGAAAGAGGAATGTTGTGAGGGATTGGACTTTCGAGTAAATACGCAGCCTTCGAGAGACGATTGTGTTGCATGGCGTGGAGGAGTTCTTAATTCTTGGTGGGAATCGAGCATCTGCTTCTTTGCTGGGGGTGGCTGGCCATAAGCTTCCTCCCGCTGGATTGTGGCATAGGATCGCTTCTGCTTTGACGCAGCAGCAGCCACTGCTCTGTAGGGCGAATTGACGGCATTGGAATTGTTCGACAAAGGCAATCGTCTCCCAGACATCGTGGAGAGATTGTGTGGCGAAGGTGATAGTGATACTGCTGCCATAAGAGGGTATTCTCAGTCCTGTGCAGCGCAAGACCTCGGTGAAGGAGTGGGGTGCACGCGACAGTACACGTCCGACCAGCTTCGGACGACTCTATAATAGCATTAAGAAAGATGATTGAATACTCGTTGGACAAGACTGCGGACGTCGCGAGTGCACAAGTCAAGGAGTGTGGTGGGGATAATGCTGGCAGAGCTCTCGAATACCCTTCCTTGAGGTTGTTTGGCTGGCTGGGCTTTGGCATCAACAAAGTCGATTTGCGGGTGGGTCCGAGAAAGCGCGTTTAGTCCAGTGACACCGCACAGCAACGGCTTATGAACACTAGCGGCCGCCGCTATGCACGACATCGAATAAAGTTATGCTTCTTTTCCAAGATGTGCTTTTGATAATGATACAAATTCTAACTCTATCTCATGAGTTGAGGCGGCAGAGAGACAGGACGCGTCTGGGCGAATGCTAAATCGACGATGACGGGCCGGAGACAGCTTCTGCAGCAATTGCGGAAGGTATCAACTCAATTGCCTTCGAGGACTACCCTCCCAATTCGAGCTCCATTGAGAAGTCGCACTGCATCTTGTTGCACACGCCGATATGCCACGATATCAGTATCAGCTGCAGACCTGAAATTTGGTCAGCCCGTTCATGAGACACATCCACATCTGTTAAGGGCTGGAGAAAGTAAGTTCATGCTACATCTTCCACCTCAAAAAAGTATTGCTGACAGAGCTTCACAGTTACACCTGGAATTACAGCACAAGAATACTCGGACCGACGTTCAAGACTTGCAGCGAGTCTGCCTGAAAATGGGATAGCAATACTGGCTTCTTCAGACACGAAATATCGATCCGGAGCTGTTTTCTACGAATTCCACCAGGAACCAAACTTCTTCTACCTGACAGGCTTCAATGAACCTGAAGCTGTGGCCGTCATACAGAAAGTTGGACCAAAATCATCTGCCGACTACAACTTCCATCTGTTCTTGCGGCCCAAGAATGCTAGAGCGGAGCAATGGGATGGTGCGAGAACTGGAGAGCAAGCTGCTCTAGATGTTTTCAACGCAGATGAGGTCAATACATATTCCGGACCATGCTGAGCAAGTGCTGATTATGTGTTAGTCCGGAGATGTCAACCAACTGCATACATTACTGCCACCCCTTATATCAGGAGCTTGTGAAGTGTATACAGATATAGCGAAGTGCTCAGGGTTTGGACGCTTCTTCCGAGATCAAGACTCGCCACCGAATGATTTCCAGAAGATGATCAAGGACAGCAAAGTCAAGTCCTTGAAGCCACTCATGCATGAGCTGAGAATCATCAAGAGCGAGGCTGAAATCGCAAACATGCGTATGGCCGGAAAGTTCTCTGGACGCGCATTCACAAACGCTATGCGACAGCAGTTCACCAAAGAGAAAGACCTTGGAGCGTTCTTGGATTATGACTTCAAGATTCTGGGATGTGATACAACTGCATATGTTCCAGTCATTGCAGGAGGGAAGAATGCCTTGAGCATACATTATGTCCGCAACAATGATGTTCTTCAAGATGGCGAGATCGTCTTAGTGGATGCAGGTGGAGAGTACGGTGGCTACATTGCCGATATCACACGGTCATGGCCTATCAACGGGAAGTTCTCGGATCCTCAAAGAGATCTATACGAAGCTATTTTGCGAGTTCAGCGAAGCAGTATATCCCTCTGCCGGGAGAGTGCTAATATGACGTTGGACAAAATCCATCAGGTCACCGAGCATGGATTGAAGGAGGCTCTTAAGTCATTGGGTTTCAACATGGGTGGCAATGCCATGGACATACTGTTCCCACATCATGTTGGCCACTACATTGGTTTGGATGTACATGATTGTCCTGGATATGCTCGATCGGTACCCTTGAAAGCTGGTCACTGCGTCACTATTGAGCCTGGGATATATGTTCCTAGTGATGAGCGTTGGCCACAGCATTTTAGAGGCATTGGGATTCGGATTGAGGATAGCGTTTGTGTACAAGACGATTCCCCTCTAGTTCTGACAACAGAAGCTGTCAAAGAAGTTGTAGATATCGAAGCACTGAGAGATTAGTGCTAATGTAATATGAATGTACTGTACACAACGATGTTGTATTCGTGGGGTCTGCCCCTCATAAAATATCAAGCGAAGTAAACAAAGAGAAATACCCAAGTGACCTTCAATACTCTCACACAAAGAAGGAGCTCGCGAGCATGGACTACGCAACCACAGACTTATGTTTGTCCTCACCGCAAACATCGGTATGGATTTAAATAAACACTTTCTCAGCATCCAATCAACAAAAGGCACTTTAGTGTAGAGGTTTAGCACGTCGATTCTGACTGTAAGAAGCGTTTCGGATTCCTGGGTTCGACTCCCAGAAGAGCCTGTTAGTAGTAACTGGGTTCAAATCTACTTTTGGTGTCTCAAGTAGAGTTCGCACTCTTTTTTTGTTTTGACATTTTCTTCTTTTGTAATTTTTGGCTAAAGATGAGCCTCAAAGTTAAGGATGGGTTCACTCTAAGACGCCGAAAGAGGGAAGTTGATCCGCGGTAAGATGCCATGTCCGTCCTCTCCTCAGTTTCTTTCGTACCAGAAAGTGGTGGAATATATTACAGCACCTACAAACTCCAAAATCAAGCCAGCCTTGAGTTCAGCTTCACTTCTCATCAATTTTTCATGGTTCACTTACCCTGACTGAATCTAATTTGACTCACGGCCAAAGCTGACTCTATCCCGTCCATCAACTCCTGTAACAGCAAGATAAAGCCCACGTGCCCTCGGCGATTCGAATAGACTCCAAGACACATACATGCCTGAAGTGAGATACAGGGATAAAGTAGAGGGGGAGTGATATACACAACTTAGTTCTATATCCTCAAGTGTCTCCGAGTTGACGCCAAATAGCGTGGAGAAATTTGTGGCAGTGTGCCATAGGCCCACTGTGCTAGAAACTAAAGACGCTGTTGTCAGAGTCTAGATTATCGTGAAGATTTAGATTGACGTCAAGATCTGCTCGAGTTCGGTCAACATTGCCATACAGACTAAGAGGATATCAGTTGCGGAAGTGGTCAGGGCAAAATGTATGGTATTGATGTCAAATCTGTCCGTCTAGCTAGGTGGAAATGTCTGCTTGATATAGTGCTCTCGCTGGCACATCGGAATTAGGCCAAACCGCCTAGTGAAACGATGCATAAGTGATAATGCGGCTTCATGCCAACATGCTACAATTTCCCCACCGCATTGAGACCACTGCCACTGATTACGAGTCCTCAACTGACAGAGGAAAAGCATCACAGGGTATCTTCAGATCACAGAGGTGGGAACACGGCGTGACACTGTAGCTGGTCTTGCCAAACTCTTGATGACCAGAATGTCTGTTGTAAGAGTGATTTCTTTGTTCAATAAGATGCTAAATACATACTTGAAAGCAACGCTATGCAATTGACGTACAAACATTCCCCCTGGGACATATTTACAGTGACTCCTGCCTCGGGAATCCTAGAAGCTTCATGTCCTCGATTCTGAAGTCGCCAAACAGCTCGTTCAACTTCATATCCTCATCCTCACTCCGATTTTCACCTATCAACGTCCTATCCGAGCCCTCGTCCTGATGCGAGGTCCACTGAGCGAAGCTTGCGTTTTTCATTCCATCCTCGATGATAAGTTCAACCATTTCTGACTTGTCCGTGACCAACTCAACCTTGAAGCCTCGTCGAGCAACTTCCTTCGAGAATGTCAAGTCGAGGGCGTCTGGTGTCCTAGGTGCACGAGCTGCAACGAAGACCCGATGGACTGGTGCAAGTTGGAAGATACAGACTTGTCCTGCTCTGTCGAAAGGGGCTCCAGTGTCGGGTAAGGCCCCGAAGAATGCTCCATAGATAACATGACTGATGGTATCTGAACTCTGACTGGTGATCCCGAGACCAGATAGCAGCATCAGACCGGGATAGATACGTTCATTGGCATACTCGACGAACTCCGTTCGTGAGAGTGTAACGTGCTCTCGAACATCGACTATTGGCAAGAAGGTAGCGATTTGACAAAGAATTGGATGTGTAAGTTCCTGAGGAGGCAGTGTTTTGTTCCGTGCGAAAGGGGAGAACAGCCGTGACAAGACTGGTATCGAGAATGGGCTCGATGCAACTCTCGGTTGACGAATGAGGGGTTCGAACAGGTTGGCCAGACTAATGTGCAGAAGAGGCTGGGAATATTAGCTGTGTCACACTCATATTCAATGAACCTCGGATCGTACCGTTGCATTCATGATTGTCTTGTCGAATGCCCGCCAGGAAATTTCATCTTCAACTTGCCCAGTATTACTTTCACAGAAGCAATCTAATATGGAGTCTGTCACTGCTTCCAGCTCACATCGCCATCGTACATCACCGACAGGGACTAATCTGGATGAGAGCACTAGACGTAACCAAGAGCGAAACTCATCTTTAGGGATTGTACCGCTCAACTCGCTAGAGTTCGAAGATGGCAAGCTTTCTGCAGCAGGAAAGAGAGCTTTATCAAATCCATTAGGAGCGTCCGCGTTCCAGACCGAATTCCTGTCCTCATGGAGTAAGTCTAAGGCGTCGTTGAGATCCTCATCATCCTTATCGGTCCTTGTGTTGTATTGTATGGTTGTGAAAATGTTCATCACACTCTGAAATAGCAACCGTCTGCGCTTTCTCTCTAGAGTATCTAACCAAAAACCGGACACACTTTGGTCTCGTGATGGCCATAAAGGACGTCTGCATAGTATCACAACTGCAGTAAGCAACGCATCGACCGTAAGAAGCTGTACTGGTTCTGGATCTAATACATAGGGATAAGACGCCAGTCTCAGGACGGATCGGTAAAGGATGGGCGCCGCATCGACGACATGGTAGGCCAAGTCCGGTGGAAGCTGCTGGCGTAGAAACCGAGAGAGAGAAGTCTCGGACCAATCTGGAAAGGTTAGCTAAGAATAACATGTACATAAGGCTCGAGGAAAGCTAACATGGTATTGCCTGATCATGATCTTTAATGGCGTATTGTTCGAACGTTGTTTCGAGAGTCTGTTGTTCGCCAGCGTCCAAGCCCCTTGCTGCTACCGCTTGGGAGAATTTGAGTCGTAATTCATCTTTCAAACTGTTAGAAGAGAACACTTCCGGCTCCCATGATCTATCTACCTTTAGTTCTCACGGGATATGATGACGAAGTTCGTTCTTCGAGTGTGCTGTTTTCCACTGACATTTCAGACTCTCGTGCTACACGCCTCTTTTTGGCTCTGACTTCAGCGTAACCAGTGAGATGAGATTAATAAAACAACATGAGAATGAGACATGAATCTGCGGTCAAGGATGCTGCGCGAATGTACGACGCGAAGTGAATGTTTAGAAACAACTTCATAGCAGAAATAACGTGTACATTTAAAGACACTCCAGCAAATCTTGCATATGCACATGCGCATGTGCAGTACAGCGTGGAGAAGAGACACACCGCTGCAGTACAACGCTGTTGTGCAAGTGGGACGAGACAGTTCGTGCATTTATAGGAGGTCTCATTGGAAGGAGCTAGGCGAACTACGTTTTGGGGAAGCCGCAGCCTTGCACCACCGCTTTCTCACCACGTCCTCGCCACAACCACAACGACAGCAGAACAACAGCAGCAAAATGGCGTCTCCATCGAATAGCCCTTCGAGGTCGAATACCCCATCTGACAATACTAATGCGATCCCAGATGCCGGTCCGCAAGAACCCGACCTCCCTCTCACTCTTGCGTCGTCCATGATCCTGACTTCGCTGCCTCGCGATGCGGCTTCTGCTCTCTCTGCAGCGGGCGAGTTTCCGAAGCCCAAGGTCACAGTGCACTTCAAAGCAGTAGGCAGTGCGCCGGCAGTCAGGAACCAAGTTTGCAAAATTTCTAGCACGCAGAGATTCGAGGCTGTGGTTAGCTATTTGAGGAGGACGCTGAAGGTTGGCCCGACGGACAGTGTGTTCTTGTACGTGAACTCTAGCTTTGCTCCGGCATTGGATGAGATTGTGGGGAACTTGCACAGGGTCAGGCAAACTCTATTTGTCATTATTCATAAGTTACTAACACCTGCAATAGTGCTTCAAAGACTCCAACGACCGGCTGATAGTTTCCTATTCGATGACACCAGCCTTTGGTTGAAGACCACATATATCTACGCAGACTACAGCAATGCGGGTACCTGACACTCGCCTCCGAATCCTTACGAACAACCAAACGCCATCAAGTCAAACACGAAAGGCCAGCACAAACGAAGTTGCGCCGCCCATTGGGTATCTTCATCAAGCATCCTTCCCCTCCACTACACGCTCAAACTCTGCCAGCTCTTCCTTCGCGATTGGATATGTATGTTCGGGTGCTGGATAGGAACGGCTCTTTGTCTCGTCTCTATAGGCTTCGATGGCTTTGAAGCTCTCGCTCCAAACATCGCCATACTTCTTGACGAACTTTGGTATAAAGCGTCCCGGTGGGAAGTTGCCAGTCATGTCGACCTGGACAAGAACCTGACCTGAACATCCATTACCAGCACCAATGCCGATTGTGGGGATCGAGAGCTTCTTTGTGATGAGTGCTGCGACCTCTTGGGGCACCGCTTCGAGGACAGTCGCGAAACATCCAGCTTCTTGGACAGCAATGGCATCTTCGAGAACCTTTAGTGCTCCTGCGGATGTCTTTCCTTGGACTCGGAAGCCCCCTAGAGCATTCTGACGTTGTGGGGTAAGTCCGATATGGCCCAACACTGGTATGCCGGCACTTGTGATCTTCTTGATGGTGGGTGCCATTTCTGAGCCGCCCTCGAGTTTGATGCCCTGCACACGTCCCTCTTTGACAAAGCGGATGGCATTTTCGAGGGCTTGTTCTGGAGCAATCTCATAGGAACCCATGGGCATATCCCCAACCTAAAGGTCAAATATTAGTGAGTGAGCTGCGATCAAGGAGAAGGCTGCATACAGTGAAGGCAGATTTGGCAGCTCGAGACACCGAGCGGCAATGAAGCAACATCTCTTCCACAAGCACTTCACTGGTATCTTCCATACCTAGAGCGACCATGGCCAAACTGTCCCCAACGAGAATAATCTCCATACCGGCAGCTTCTGCAACATGGGCGCTGGGGAAGTCATGGGCCGTGAGGACAGTGATGGGTTCACCCTTCTTGTATAAGGAGCGCAAGGTATTGATGGTGACTTTCTTTCGTGGAACCAGGGGCTGAGAGCCCATGGGCGAGTGCGAGCTCCATCGACTCTGATATTGCGACAGCAATGGTTTGGCAACAATAGAAGCTGGTCGTGGGTATTGTGTAAAGAGGGCACGAGACATTTTCACGATGGAAATTGATGCTGTCATGGTGGGGTGAAAGGGTTGTTGATGCTCAATTGAGTAGCA